TTTTTTTGAGACAGAGTCTCACTCTGTCACCAGGCTGGAGTGCAGTGGTGCAATCTCGGCTTACTGCAACCTCTGCCTCCCAGGTTCAAGCAATTCTCCTGCCTCAGCCTCCCCAGTAGCTGGGACTACAGATGTGCACCGCCACACCCAGCTAATTTTTGTATTTTTAGTAGAGACGGGTTTCACCATGTTCGTCAGGATGGTCTTGATCTTTTGACCTCGAGATCCGCCCACCCTGGCCTCCCAAAGTGCTGGGATTACAGGCGTGAGCCACCGCACCTGGCTCATATGGCTACATGCTGAATAAGTCCTCCATAATTCATGTTGAAATAACTGACAATGCAATAGTGCCACAGTTTGAATACCTTTTGTCCCCACCAAAATTCATGTTGAGGCTTGGTCTCCTTGGTAACAGTGTTGAGACAGAGAGGACCTTAAAGATGCATTTGGGTCATGAGGGGTCAGCCCCCATGAAAAGATTAATGCAGTCACTGAGCGTTCCCACTCCTGGGGACTGCATTAAGTACCTTGAGAGCAGGTTGTTAATAAGCAGCACCGCCCCTTCAGCCAGCGTCTGCCTCCCCTTCCAGTTCTCTGCCATGCTATGACGTAGCACAAAGCCTTCGCTAGCTGCCTACCAGGTAGGGCTGCCGGATCTTGTGCTTCCCAGTCTCCAGGAGAGTGAGAAAATAAATTTCCGTTTTTTAAAACTACCCACTCTCAGGTATTTTATTATAGCAGCACAGATGAAGACAAGCCTGTTTCACATATTGCATAGGATACACCACAAAATTATTCTTAAACTGAAATTCAAATTATAGGCCATCCTGTATTTCATCTGGCAACTGGATCCAGGGACAAACAATAACACAGCCCTTATATGATCCTAATCAGCCTCGCCTCAAAGACCGAGTTTAACCAGAACGATACATTGAAAAGGGCATTTTAATGTCATTCTGTATAACCGTGGAAAATTGGACCTGACCCAAATCCTCAATTACTTAGAATAACGGTTAAGTAATTATTGTACGTTATTTAGGTAGAATAGTATTTATTTAAAGTAATAGATATAAACAGATGCATCTCACACTCTTTGGATTGGCAAGTATTTAAATATCTGATACTATCAAGGGTCAGGAGAAGATGGAACAATTGAAATTTACATATCCTGATGATATCCTAGAGCATGATTTCAAATGTTAATTTGTGTATAAATCATCTGGAAATCTTGGTAAAAACGCAGGCTTTAATTAAGTAGGTGGAGCACAAGACGCACAGTTTCTAACGCACTGCCAGGTGATGCTGATGTTGCTTGTTGCTGGCTGCTGGACCCCCATCTGAATAATGAGGCTCTAAAGCTCTGGGCTTCAAATGCTTGAATATATACTAAAATAATAATAATGTTTAAAAACCCAAGAACTTAGTGTCCCCTGATACATGTTGAAGCTGAATTTTTCATTACTAGTTTAGGTAGTTTGAACTGTGTTTCTGGCAACACATTTACGTATTTAAATAAACTTGTTACACACTTTTAAATATTTCTAGTAGACTTCACTCTAGTTTGCCTGCCACTGCTGTGAGCAGTTTCTGAGAGGGATGCCAGCAGGACTGATCCCCAGTGAGGCTTGATATTATCCTATGTATGTTTTATATGAGCTGCAACCATTGAAGGAGACTGGGCAAAGATACATTGTAGTCTCTGCGCTGTCTTTGCAAGAGAACCCCCTGCCTGAAATATCTGTCAATTTCCAGTCAAGGCACAACCACTGTAGGAAGGGTCAAAAGCATTCAATTTGGCACCCAGAAGCAGCTCTCTCTGGCTGAGGGCAGTAGCCACAGGACTCAGCTGGGGGCCATCAGCTGTCTACATACCCAACAGCTGGAGAAATGAGTCCCAGGGGAAACCTGGGTGGCACAACATGACACCCCCTACACCCTGACAACCCCATAGGGTATTTGGCAGGGCCTGGTAATCCAGTGGAAGATGGGCTGGGGAATGTGGTTAGTTCAGTTCAGCTCAGTAAGGCCCATGCTTTGGTTCAGGTGCTGTCTCTCTCTCTCTCTCGCTCTCTCTCGCTCTCTCTCGCTCTCTCTTGTTCTCTCTCTCTTTCTCTTTTTGAGACAGTGTTTCCCTCTGTTGCCCAGGCTTGATTGCAGCGGTGGGATCTCGGTTCACTGCAACCTCCGCTTCCTGGGTTCAAGTGATTCTCCTGCCTCAGCCTCCAAGTAGCTGAGACTAGAGGCGTGAGCCACCATGCCCAGCTAATTGTTTGCATCTTTAGTAGAAACGGGGTTTCACATGTTAGCAAGGATGGTCTAGATTTCCTGACCTCGTGATTTACCCGCTTCGGCCTCCCAAAGTGCTGGGATTACAGGTGTGTGCCACCACGCCTGGCCACTGCTCTTCAATTTATAGGGAATGTATTTATAGGGAATGTAATTTCCTCCATTACTGCATGTGTACCCCATCAGTCTTTCACTGTGAAGCAATTAGTTCTTTTAAAAAGTTAAAAAAATTCTTAACCAAGTGGGATTATTTCAGAAATGCAAAGAAGGTTAATATTAAGATATTCTTCAATAAGTTGGCGTTTCTGGGCCAAAGATGAATGCCTACACCATTTTTCTTAGAAATTGCCAAATTCCTCTTTATGGGAGTTGTATAATTTGCAGTCTTATCACCAATGTATGAGTGTTTCTCACAACTTCTCTCTTTACATTTTAACCTACATTTCTTCTATCACAAGCGACGTTTAACGTCTTTTAATACGTTTAAGGGCATTTGCCCTTTTTTTTCTCTTATGGGGTCTCACTGTATTGCCCAGGCTGAAGGGCAGTGATTATTCACAGGCGCGATCCCACTACGGATCAGCAGGGGAGTTTTGCCCGTCTCGGTTTCCGAGCCGGGCCGCTTCCGCCCTCCTTGGGGGAACCTGGTGGTCCCCGCTCCCGGAAGGCCACCACACCGAGGCGGAACTCGGTGCCGCCGCGCAGTGGCCACAGCGCATACAGCGCGGAGCTCCAGGGCTCAAGAGCTGCTCCCGCCTCAGCCTCCGGAGTAGCGACGCCACAGGCGGGACGTCTGTCATTAATCGGGTGTTTTTTTGAGACCGCGGATGACAGACGACAGGAGTCAGGCCACGCGCAGCGCCGCGGCGCAAACGCTAGGAAGGACTCCGCGCACGGCGGCCGGTGACGTCAGGGCAGCGGGAGGTGACGTCACTGCGGCACGGGGGCGGGGCGGCCTGTCACGCGGCGCTGGGCGGAGGCAGAGCGCGGGGCCAGACGAGGGCCCTGGGCCTGGGGAGGCGGGGCCTCCACGACGCCCGGCGCATGCGCGACGCCTGGCTGCTGGGCCCCGCGGCAGTTCCGCCCGCCGCGGCTCCTGCGGCTGGCACCGGGGCTGTGGCGGGAGGGACGATGCCGCAGCCCGAGTCCCGGAAGGCGGCGATCCTGGGCTGCGGGCATCGCGGTGAGTACCCGCCCGGCGGCGCCTCCCCTCGCGCGGCCTCCCCGCGTCCCTCAGCACCTCCGAGAGCAGCGGCGGCCGCTGCGGGGCGCGCGCGCGGTCGGGGCGGGCTGGGGCGGCGGCGGGGCAGCGCCTGGCTCCCCGCGGGTCCGGGGCTCCCGCACGCCCGCTGGGTGAGGCTCGTTTCTCGGGGAGACGCCGCTGCCCCCGCGCCTCCCAGGGCGTCTCCTGAGGCGGGTCCGCGGGCGCGGGGCGAGGGCCATGGCGCGGGCCGCGTTTCGGGCATTTAGGACGGAGGCACACCTGATCCTTCAGCCTCTCCAGCATTTCCTAAAATGAAGTCCGGAGCAGGGTTGTCCACTTAAAGAAACCAAAATGCCCAGAAATAGAACATTTCACACATGCACCACACTAGGGAGGACCGTGTGGGAGGAAGATGAAGCTCAGGTTCCCACCTGGCTAAGCCAGTCAGGCTGGGAACCGCGTCAGGCAAACCTGCTCCCGTTTTGGTCCTAAGACAGCTGCGAAGATAACAAGCCACGCAGCTCCCTCGCCGTGCGCCCGGGAGGAAATTCGCTGCGGGCCTCCAGATCTTTACCCTGAAACGGCTGTGTCGAATTTCACCCTGGCGGTGTGAATTGACGGTTTATCTTCGCAGGTGAGGGACGGGGCCCGAACTCTCGTCATCCCTCTGCTCGCCCGAGACAAATGCGCGTCTGAGGGCTCCCTCTGCCCTGTCTTTACGTAAAAGTGCAGCTTCACGGAGCCAGACCAAGGCGCAAGTGACGATTCCTCTGCCTGCCCGGTCTTGTAAATTGCGTATTCAGGGAAAGGCTGTGTAGAGGCTCAGAAGAACGCAGCCGTTTGTCATCTACCCCTGAGCTGGAAGCCCCCACTTCGAGTCGTCCCGCCTTTGCGGACGGAACCAGTCTGTACCTGTATTTGATTGAAGTCCTCTGTCCCCGTAAAATCTCTAGGCCGTGCCCCCACCACCTTGGTACATGTTCTCAGAATCTCGCGAGGGCGGTGTCATGGGCAGTAGACACTATTTGGCTCAGAATAAATCTCTTTAAAATTTAAATTTAAAAATTTCGTGGGTACATAGTAAGCGTATGTATTTATAGGTACATAAGATATCTGATGTGGCCTAGAATGTGTAGTAATCACGTCAGGGTGAGTGGGGTATCCGTCCGCTCAAGCACTTATCCTTTCTTAGTGTTACAGACAACCGAGTTACACTCTTACAGAGTTACTTTAAAATGTGCAGTATGGTTGACTTTAGTCATGCTGTTGTGATGTCAAATACTAGATCTTATACGTTCTATGTAACTTATGCATTCTATGTAAAAATAATATATATATTTTTGACGGAGTCTCACTCTGTCGCCAGCTGGGGTGCAGTGGTGCGATCTCAGCCTTCAAGCGATTCTCCTGCCTTAGCCTCCTGAGTAGCTAGAACTACGGGTGGGAGCCACCATGTCCTGCTGATTTTTGTATTTTTAGTAGAGATGAGGTTTCGCCTTGTTGGCCAGGATGGTCTCGATCTTCTAACCTTGTGATCCGCCTGCCTCAGCCTCCCAAAGTGCTGGGATTACAGGAGTGAGCCACCGTACCCAGCCATAACTCTATTTTTGTATACATGAACTGTCTCTCACCTCACCCCCGTCTCAGCCTCTGGTAACCATCATCTGGTCGGTCTCTCCATGAGTTCAGTTGTTTTAATTTTTAGCTTCCACAAATAACAACAGGGGAAGTTTGTTATTCTGTGTACCTGGCTTATTTCACTTAACGTAATGACCTCCAGTTCTTTCCCTGTTATTGCAAATGATGGGATCTCATTCTTGTATATGGCTGAATAGTACTCCATTGTGTAAATGTATCATGTTTTCTTTACCCCTTCATCTGTTGATGGACATTTAGGTTGCATCCAAATCTTGGCTATTGTGAACAGTGCTGCAACATACCTCTTCGTTACACTGATTTCCTTTTTTTGGGGTATATACCTATGAGTGGGATTGCTGAATCATGTGATGGTTCTACTTTTAGTTTTTGGGGAACTTCCAAACTGGCCTCCATAGTGCTTGTACTAATTTATGCCCACTGATGGTGTACAAGGATTCCCTTTTCTCCATATCCTCACCATCCTTCCTTTTTGCCTGTCGTTCGGATATAAGCCATTTTAACTGGGGTGAGATGATATCTTGTAGTTTTGATTTGCATTTCTCTGATGATCAGTGATGTTGAGCACCTTTTCATCTGCCTGTTTGACATTTGTGTGTCTTATTTTGAGAAATGTCTATTCAAATCTTTTGCTCATTTTTAAATAAGGTTATTAGATTTTTTCACATAGAGTTGTTTGAGCTTCTTATATATTCTATTCATCCCTCGCCAGATGGATAGTTTGCAAATGTTTTCTCCCAGTCTGTGGGTTGTCTCTTCACTTTGTTGTTTCCTTTGTTGTGCAGAAGCTTTTTAACTTGATGTGATACCATTTGTCCATTTATGCTTTGGTGGGGTATTACTCCAGAAATCTTTGCCCATTTTAGTGTCCTGGAGATTTTCTCCAGTGTTTTCTTTTAGTGGTTCCCTCCCCTCTCCTCCTCTTTCCTCCCCTTCCCACCTCTTCCCTCCCCTTCCCTTCCCAAGCCACCAAGTCTGGCCCATCTTCTTCAATTTCTTGGATCAGTGTTTTATAGTTCTAATTGTAGAGATTATTCACTTTGGTTAATTCCTAAGTATTTAATTTTATTTGTGGCTATCGTAAATGGGATTACTTTCTTGATTTCTTTTTCAGATTGCAGTTGGCATAGGGAAATGCTCTGATATTTGTATGCTCTGATATTTGATATGTCACTTTGATTGTTTTGCATATGTTGAATTATCCTTGCATCCCTGGGATAAATCCCATTTAGTCATGACGAACGATCTTTTTAATGTGTCATTGAATTCAGTTTGCTAGTATTTTGTTGAGGATTTTTGTATCAGTGTTCATCAGGGATATTGACCTGTAGTTTTATTTTTTTTTATGTGTCTTTATCTGGTTTTGGTATCAGGGTAATATCGGCCTCGTAGAATGAGTTTGAAAGTATTCTCTTCTCTGTTTTTTTGGAATAGTTCAGGTAGGATTGGTATTAGTTCTTCTTTAAAAGTTGTATAGAATTCAGCAGTGAAGCCCTCAGGTCCTGGGGTTTTCTTTGGTGGGAGACTTTTCATTACAGCTTTGATCTTATTACTTGCTATCGGTCTGTTCAAGTTTTGCATTTCCTAATAGTTCAATCTTGGCAGGTTGTATGCGTCTAGGAATTTATCCATTTTCTCTAGGTTTTCCAATTTATTGGTATATAATTAGTTGCTCATAGTAGCCTCTAATCTTTTGGATTTCTGTGATATTGATCGTAAAGTCTCCTTTTTCATCTCTGATTTTATTTTTGGGGGGCTTCTCTTTTGCATAGTCTGGCTAATGGTTTGTATTTTGTTTATCTTTTCAAAAAAGATACTTTTTGTTTCATTGGTCTTTTGTATTTTTTTCATTTTAATTTATTTCTGCTCTGATCTTTATTATTGCTTTTCTTCTACTAATTTTGGGTTAGGATTTCCTCATGCTTTTCTGGTTCCTTAAGATGCATTATTAGGTGGTTTATTTGTAGTTTTTCTACTTTTTTGATGTAGGTGCTCATTGCTATAAACTTTACTTATTTGTGCTTTGACTATATCCACAGGTTTTGGTATGTTGTTTCCATTATCATTTGCTTAAAGAAATTGTAAAATTTATTTCTTAATATCTTCATTGACCCACTGGTCATTCAGGTACATCTTATTTAGTGTACATGTATTTGTATAGTTTCCCAAATTATTCTTGTAATTGATTTCTAGTTTTATTCCATTGTGGTCAGAGAGGTTACTTGATATAATTTCAGTTTGTTTGACTTTTTAAAAAACTTGCTTTGTGTCCTAACATATGGCCTACCTTTGAGGATGATCTGTGTGTTGAGAAGAATGCATGTTCTGCAACCACTGAATGAAATGTCCTGTAAATATTTATTAGGCCCATTTGGTCAGTAATACAGATTAAGTCTGATATATCTTTGTTGATTTTCTGTCTTGATGATCTGTCTAATGCTGAAAATGGGGTATTGGGAAACTCCATTTATTGTATTGGGGTCTCTCTCTCTCTTTAGCTCTAGTAATAATTGCTTTATGTATTTGGGGGCTCCAGTGTTGGGTGTGTATATATTCACAGTTGTTATAGCCTCTTGCTGAACTGACCTCGTTATCATTATATAATGACCTTCTTTGTGTCTTTTTAGAGTTTTTTTCTTGAAATCCATTTTGTTTGATATAAATATAACTACTCCTGCTCTTTTTTAGTTTCCATTTGCATGGAACATCTTTTTCCATTCTTTTGTTTTTAGTCTTTGTGTCTTCATAGGTTAAGCATGTTTCTTGTAGGCAGCAGGTTGTTGAGTCTGCTTTTTTTTTTTAAACCCATTTAGCCACTCTGTGTCTTTTGATTGGGGAGTTTAGCCCATTTACATTCAATGTTATTGATAAGTAACATTCAATGTTATTGATACTGCTGCCACTTTATTATTTGTTTTCTGGTTGTTTTGCCATCTGCTTCCCTCTTTCCTTCCCTCCTGTCTTCTGTTTAGTGAGGGTTATTTTCTCTGGTGGTATGTTTTAATTTCTTGCTTTTTATTTTTTGTGTATCTATCATATGTTTTTAGATTTAAAGCTACCATGAGGCTTGAAAATAGTGTCTTCTAACTATTTTAAACCTATGGCAACTTAACACTGATCGTGTAAACAAAGAGACAAGCAAAAAGAAAACTAATAAAAACTACACATTGGCCAGGTGCAGGGGCTCAGGAGTGTAATCCCAGCAACTTTGGGAGGCTAAAGTGGGTAGATTGCTTGAACTAAGAAGTTCAAGACCTAGGGACCAGGCATGGTGACTCACACCTGTAATCCCAGCACTTTGGGAGGCCGAGGCTGGGGTATCA